CGACAGTCCCCCATGACTGCACTAACCTTCCTTTCCTTCAATGCGGAACTCACCCATTCGACCACGATAGGCGATGTGCCCCGGTCTTGGAGCGAGTTGCATATGGTCTCAGTTTTTGCCTTGTCGAAGGCACCTTCTATGTCAAAGAATATTGCCAATACAACCTCCTTGTACTGAAGGGCCTTCTCTACTTTATGTGTGACACTATGTAAGGCCGTCTCCGTGGACCTGCCCCGCCTATAGGCGTGCTGGTTCGTGTGGATTGGGTATCTACTCAACGCCCCATCCACCAGATACCTGTCCACAATCCTTTCCATCGTTTTAAACAGAAAGGATATGAGACTGATAGGCCTAAAAGACTTCGCCGCAGTGTAGTCTTCCTTCCCAGCCTTGGGGATGAAGACCACCTTGGCTGACCTCCAAGCCTGTGGGACGTAGCCCATCGCCAGACTGGCCGGAACACCCTCACCATACATGGCAAGAGAATGTCCAGGCCCCTCTGCAAAAACGACGGGAAAACTCCGTCCGGCCCCGCTGCCTTGTAGGGTTCGAACTCATTCACTGTCCAGGTTACTGCCTCGTCGCCAATGAGCTCCTCGGCCAGGAGCCAATCTGCTTGTGGCATTGGCTCCGCCCTGGTGCCCTCGACGACATGGCCTCCACCTGAAAAGTGAGTTTCCAGCAGAAGTTCTAAACACTCCTCGCTGGAAGTGGTCCAAGTCCCATCTTCCCTCTTTAATGATTCTAATTTCTCCCTTTTGTCGCAGCTTAAGATCTTCATTAATCTGGCTGCCTCCGGCAGGGACTCCAGCTCACTGCAGTATGCCTTCCAGCCAGATCTCTTGCTACGCCTAAGTTCCTTCTTAAACTATCGCCTTGCAGTTTTGTAATCGTCCCAAGAGGTCCCTTCCCCTTCCCTGACAGCTCGGTTTACCGGGATTAACTGACCTCGTAATATCTCGCAAAATATCATCATTATTAAGTGAATTATCGTTGGATTTTACTATTAATACAGCCGAAGTTGTTTTTTGGTGACTTTTTTGTAACATCACTATATGATACACTTTTTCCAACTTGAGATATTGTACTCACGTTTTTCTCCACTGTCGCCTGTTCTTCATACCTATGAATTATAGCCTTTTGCAGATTATGCGAATACTCCAGCTCGTTTAATAATTTGTTGATAAGAAATTTTTCTTTATTTAGGCTTTCTATTTCTTTATAAAGTAGGGCAACCTCGTTATTTTCGGCACCGTCGGTTCCTTGCTGTGTTGGACGCCAGGCATCTTTGCAGTTGTCACAAAACCAAAATAAATTTTGACTTTTGTTTAGTATTTTGCACCACGAGTCTCTAATTGATACACAAACTAGATGGTACCTTCTTTTGCAAAAATTGCATATGATATGTTTTGAATTGACAATAAAATTATCAGAGCAGCGGTGACACACGTCAGTATCGACCGACATACCGCTCGAGTGGTGGTGAATGTGTTACTGGAATTCTGAATATTATCTGAAGGTAAGTTGTTATTATGTTTTATACGATTTTTAGTGACTAAGTATGTTTGTATATTCACCTAGATATTTTGTATAAAGATCAAAGTTTGTTTTGTTCAGAAAATATTTAGATTCACTTAAACTCTACAAATAATAGGTATCTATTGTTGAATGATATGCAATGCTGGTAATATGGGCCTTTTGTGGGTCCGAATATGGGCCAGGGCCTATATTCTCCCCTGATTTTGAATTCAGTTCTTTTTCCAGGTTGACTATGCCACGTAACAAACCAAAGTTTTTACCAAAGAATTTAAGGAAACAATGGAACTCCGAAGACATGATAAAGGCTATGGATAGCGTAAATAACAAAAAAATTACATTTGCGACTTTTGTATATAATTTCTTTCTTTCCAATTTCTGTTGTTGCCATTACTCTTTTGTATAATCATATATGAAGTGTGTCTCAATTTTTAGGTGTATTTGTCAAAAAATTTGTTAATAATTTATAAAAAACAAAATAGGGGTCCATATTCGGACCTTCTCCTCTACTGTTTCGAGTCCAAATACAATATAGTTCCGCAGCCGGCGTAATCGATTCGAATCAATTGGACCTGATTCGGTTGAGAATCTGTTGCATAGTCTTCACCACAAATACCTGTTTCAGCGAATACTGAATGAGTCCGAACTACTTTAACAATCTTAAGTCAGCAGGATAGTTTGTTTTGCAACATATGAAGTAGACAATGGAAACTGCTGGACTGGTGTATTTTATTTGATTGTTACTATATTTTACTAAGAAAGAAATACATTATTTTATTTTAGTAATTACCACTATTTTGATTTTATGGTTATCGTTGAAGTAATTAAACAAAACTTGTATTTAATTCACCCATGTTAATAATAAAAAATGTAAATGTTAAAGATAATAGTTTATTTTGTTTTTTTTTTATTAATTTTGTATTTAGTGTAGATATTTATTGTTTTTATATACATTGCACTTTGCCATCTTATAATTGTTTTCCTAAACTGTGGGATAGTGATGGTGTGTTCTACATAAAGAAATAAATAAATTAATAATTTAATTTTGTCGGCGATGCATTACAAAATATGTACTAATACTGATTTGCGTTACGAACCAAGTCCGTCGATGTAAATTGCAATCACTTTTAAAAATTCTCAAATCACAAGAAGAAGTTTTTAGAATTCGAGTTTCGAGTCCGAGTACAGTAAAGTCCCGCAGTCGTCTTTAACGTGACACGGACTCGAACCAGTTGGACGGACCTGTTCCGGTTGATCATTCGAATCAGTTACATAGTCCACACCACAAATACCTGTTAAAATGGATCAGTTCCAGTTTCGAGTAGCCATCTCACAACTTACTGTGTCACTAATCTCTAGTTCAGTCGTCAGCCACCCGTCGTCGCAGCGAGCAGTCGAGTCCACCGCTAGCCCAAGGAAGACCACCGTCTGGTAAGAATGTACAATGTACCGTACAAGCCTAGAAATAAGGCTGATTGATGGACGATATCATGATTTTTCGATATCAACGTGATTCGTGAATGCCATTTTTTTAATATCAGTGATTTTAAACCGTGACGTGATCAGTGATCACGGTTTACCAGCAATGCATGTTGTGAGTTGTGACTTGTGACGTGATGTGACTAATACGTTATTATTATCGTTATTCGTTATCGTATCACATCACATCACATCACACCCACATACCATCGATTAGGTAGATGATCATATTCTTGCTCATTCACATTCAAGTATCAAATATTCATTCCGTTCTATACTAAACTGTGATTAGGTCACGGTTTTGGTAGGAAGTTAGTAACAGTCGTGATTCGCGATTTTGTAATATCATTGATTAAATCACTAGGCTGACTGTGAGTTGGAAATTCAGTTCATCTCTACCTGTCGCAGCGAACAGTCCAGTTCGCCAGTATCAGGAAAATCGCAGAAGTAAGTAAGGTTCCGTGCATATGTAATGCGCAAGTCTCCTGAGGTGACAGGAGACCATACGTGAGCAAAACGTTTAGGTAACCCTAGATTTTCATTCCTGTGCAAAATCTAACTCTCTCTAAACCCCTGGACATACTGTGTCTTCACTGCAGCTGCCTGAATAGTGGCGTGTCTGCACTGTAAATAGAAACTGACCCCCGAAGTAATCGCCGCCATTCGGGCATCATAGTGACCTACGCGACGCACTTTGCCGCCGAGAAACAAACGAAGTGATAACGTCACAATAACTAGTCACAGTATAGAAAACAGTAAATTCACTCCTCCTCTTTTGTGGACCACAACCCCACTGCTCTAAAAGTCCAGTAAAGGGACGCGTGATCTATGCGTAATAGCAAGCCCAGCCCCTAGTCCACCAACAAGCCCAGCTTAGCTTTCAGCTTTTGAGGTTCGCCTACTTACGCGTGGTCTCAGCGCAGTCACTTAAAGCGACATAAAAATGAAACTAGGGTTCAATTTTTTATAAATGGGTTAGATAGGCAGTGAATTTACAGTTTTCTATACTGCGACCTAGCTATATGATTTTTGTTCTGTTAATTTCTGACCCACCACCAGTTCAATACCACAAATACATAGAAGCTTCGAGATTCCTGATATGCACGTTTTTCTTAATATTTAACAAAAAACTTAAACTGACAAGTTAGGTCATGTCCTATTTCATAAGAATGTTTCTATTAAATTTTTCTCTGGCTTAAGTCACAGCGCATGCGGGGAGCCTAGAAACGAAGTGCGCACATTTTACGCATTTTTTTATAATGGTGGCGTGTCATATGATATGAAACGTTTTTTGGCATTGCAGCGATTGAACTATTTACAACTGTATTCTGAATTACCTATTCTTGCATTGTATCTGTGACGTCATGTTTGCAATTGGATAAAACAGTAGGTTAGTATAGTCTTTCCGAAGTCAGTTGAACCTGTATAAAAATGCCTGGCAATAAAGTTTAATACTTTCATAGGCATCCCTAAAAATTTTTCTGCTAAAGGTAAAAAATTATAATAATTTGTATTCAGGGTGGTCCGAATATTATGTAGGAAACTTCGAGGGCAGATAGATCTCTTTAATTTAATATATATAAGCCCCGTTTTAGAGATACAGGTTGAAGTTGTTAAAAAAATGATTTTTTTGTTTATATCTCGGGAATCTATTAACCGATCTCAATAAAATTTGGTACAGATAATGTTTGATGGTAGCCCGTACATTCCCTATGAGCTTTAAAGGTTCAACCAATTGTGTACGACTGGACAGGGGTCATCCATTTTTTTACAAAAAAAACTACGCCACTGCATTTTTTACAAGTCATTGTAACTAATTTATATTCTAATGCACAAAATAGGTAAAAAAGGTAACTTGAATTTTTTCCCTAAGATTCGCCGTTCTCAAGTTATTCATACCAATACAATCCCCTTGTGGCAGACACTTCTAACAATGTAATAATATTACAAGAATATTTATGTTTATAAACATAAATATACTTATGCTTAAAAGTGAGTGTAATTTGTAATCACATCAACAAAATTATTTACACTCCTTTCTACACCACCTGTGAGGTAGTGTTCCCGGTGTGTATTAGTTTTCCCTGGAGGCCTAATACTCTTTACAAATAAGTACAGTTTAAATCAAAATAATAATAAAAACATATTTACCAAGCAACAGCAACTAAACAAGAAACAAAATTAGCGATACGTATTTACAACAATTGTTCAAAATGCGAACCACCCACATCGATACATTTCTGTGACATCTTCTATTAATGGAATAAATTGAAGCTAATATCATGTGGTGGTTTTCTTTTAATTCATTACACCCATCTTCTTCGTTGCAGTAGTTGTGGTCTTGTATTTGTTGGAGTAGAATAAACTTTACATTTCAGATAACCCCATAGTAGTCCAGGTGGTTTCGATATGGCAGTCTGGCTGGCCAAGACACTGGATCCTCTGCACCATTATGGTTTACATTGGCATATGGTCTTCTACCTATCCATCACCCCATATAATTTTCATTAAGTCATTCTTATATTATTCTCCCAGAATGCGCAGGACCACCATCAATTGTATCCAGCTATTTTATCGTATATTTAATGGAACATCCTCTAATGATTCAAATAGATGGTTTTCTAGAAAGTTTAGAAATTACTGGGAATTTAGACATTATTGCGAATTATTTCGAGCCACATGATCACAGAAAATTCGCGTTGAAAAGATTTTGTCCGAATTTCATGAGGATTTTCTTGTGACAAAATATGCATATTGTGAAAATTCATTACCCCTCGCCTTTGGTAAATGTACATTTATTATTATTTTGATTTAAGTTGTTCTTATTTGTAAAGATAGTGGATTAGGCTTCCAGGGGAAACTAAAACGCGTAAGGAACTCTACCTCACAGATGGTGTGGAAACGAGTATAAAGTGTAAAGAATTTTGTTGATGTGTTTACAAATTCCACTTACTTTTAAGCATAAACATAAATATAATTGTAATATTATGGTTAGAAATATCTGCACAAGGGGATTGTATTGATATGAATAACTTGAAAATGGCGAATCTTAGGGAAAAAATTCAAGTTACATTTTTTACTTATTGTGTGCATTAGAATATAAATCTGTTAAAATTACTTATAAAATGCAGTGGCGTAGGTTTTTTTTATAAAAAAGGAGATGACCCCTCCTAGTTGTACACCACTGGTTGTATCTTTAGAGCTCATATTTTAGGGAATGCAAGGCCTATTATCATAGATTATCTGTACCAAATTTTATTGAGATCGGTTAAGAGATTCCGGAGATATAAACAAAAAATCAATTATTTTTAACAACTTCAACACCCTGTATCTCTAAAACGGGGCTGTTCCAGACCAATGTTTATAAGGCAAACACATATTGTTTTAAAGAGATCTATCTGCCCTCGAAGTTTCCTGCATAAAATTCGGACCACCCTGTATAATGTGTAAAAAATTTCTATATGTTCATTTGGCCAACAACATATTTTAATTATTTATGTCCACAAACCATTTTATTATATTGACAGTAAATTACGTTTTGTTCCGTTTTAAAAGGTCTCCAAAATGCCATGTTGTAACAATATTAGTAAACAAAATATGTCTCATATTTCTCCCTTTCGAAATTGTAATATGAATGATTAATAGAATGGTGCCTAAAATAAATTAAAATTGTCTGAATCACACCAAATTCCGCATTGCACTGCCAGGCGACTTGTCGACAACTGCAATTTACGACGCAGTCGACCAGAGTAACTGTGCGTGAACACCGTTTGTCCGCACATGCATTCTTAAACTGGGCGTATACATTTCTACCACCTGCACGTTTAGTTCGACCAGACCTGTATATGTGTATGGCTAAATAAATATGGGAACAAGTTTTTCAAATATTTCAATGCTGAGTTGCTGCGTAGGGACCGAGCCTGGTACATAGTGTCAAGTTCTTGGTTCTTCAACTGAAATCGGAAAGACTACCTGTATACTGACTATACCAACAAGTTGCTAGAAATTTTCAACATTTCTTGGAGTATGCACACTAACAATTTTTTGTTGAAAAACTGTTAGCTTTTCACGAAAAGTCCTTTAAAAATAAAAGATCTATTAAGTACTATTCTATTATACTTTAACAAAGCGAAAACTGAGCTATCAAAATTTCGTAAGTTTTAGTTGAACATTTTGTTTTCAAAGTACTTTTTTTATAAAAAGTTTTTGTATTTTGACGAAAATAAAAAGAACGACATTGTGGTCTCATCATTGCAATTCAAAACCCAAAAGAAAAATAAAAGTTGCATGTCGATTTTTCGTCTTGGTAGATATTATGGCTAATACGAAATTTGAATTCTCTACGAAGCGCGTCCAAAATATGTTTGAGTTTAAAAAATCCACTTTCTTCCCTAAAAGTAAAACCGAAAGTCAAAATTTTCTGTTTTCTGTGGATAACTTCAAAAGGAACAAAGATAGATCGACCTTCTTTTCGGCAAGTTATTCGTTATTAGTTCTAAAACTTTACCTTAATTTAATTGTATATTTTAAGAAAACCAACATCACAGTAGTGCGACTCGAAAAATGGGCAATACAGAGTTTAGTACTTAGTAGATAGTAGTACCTATACCTATCATGTTTTCGATGTCGAGCTGACTCTATGTAAATTGGTATTTTCACGCTTTTGTATCGAACTGAATAAAAACAAATAAAATAATATCAAGGCAAGTGGAATATCCCAGATATTTAACGGATAAACTCTAGGAAAACATACACGTACATTGTTCGTGAAAGGGAAATTCCAATGTAGTATAATATGTAGATTAATGTATAATGAGATGGATGTTAATAGCTTTAATCTGAATTAGGGGTTATATCTCGTTTGCGACAATACATATTTCTCGCATATGAGACCGACATTTCTACAATTTCAAATTTTTGTAATGGGGACAGTGTGGGGGTGAAAAGATAAAGATAATAATAATAATTCTATTTAAATCTTAAACGTACAGACTGGATATAGTTTAGAATTATACAGAGCCTTCATAAATTCAGTAATTTTGTTTGGAACAGTAATTTTATTTCCTTCATGTTGGGAATAAAATAAAAAATTATTAAAATAAGATGAACATTACATTAAAACACAACATTCTGTTATACCGGCTCGTGATTGGTGTAATTTTTCGGGAAGTTTCATTCAACCAAGCAGCGATGGCCTTATCTCGAGCGTAGACATAACGGTTTGTCATTGTTCATTATAAACGAATCGTTAATATCGGTGACTCCAAGATTTAGAGAATTTTCATCATACCAGTCCTGTAATGTTTTTTGCCAAAGTCCGGCGTTCACGTGGCTTATAAACATTTATGAAGGCTCTGTACAGTAATATTTTATTCCGGATGAGATCAGATGACCGATACACTGCGAGACAGAGCCTTCATAAATGGTTACAAGCCACGTGACTAGTAATTTTGTATGGAACAGTATTTTATTTCCTTCACGCTGGCAATTAAATTTCGGTAAAATTAAAATAATAATAATAACCTTAAAACATAACATTCTGTTTCATTGGCTGTGATTGGTGTAATTTTTGACGAGATTCTATTTAACCAATCGGCGATCGTATTATCTTGAGCGTAGACGTAACGGTTTGTCATTGCTCATTGTAAACAAATCATTGACACCAAGATTTAGAGAATTTTCGTTACTAGTACCATAGTATAAGTATTTACTTATACAATGCTAGTACCAATCGTGCAATGCTGGGTTGTTTAAGCTCGACGGTCACGTGGCTTCTAAACATTATAAAGGCTCTGTATATGGACCATGTTGTTTCATTGACTTTCCATAAAAATGGTATTTGAACTTAACACAGAAACTTTAAACACACAATTTGTAGGAATTTTATTACACATAATTGTAGTGTCAGTGAAACACATGATTCATATATTCAGTGACGATGAAATTGATGTTGAGTGGTTTCTATAGTCATCTATTAGCTGATTTTCAATAAATAATTCCAATGAACTGTCAAAGTAACACCATATTACAATATTATAATAGCAATTAAGTGAAGACAGTTAAAAGATTTTAAAGTTCATACCAGGAAGAAAAAACATGAATATATTTGCTGAGGTTTTGATACAAATTTATCTTAGATCAGGGGTGACGTACTGCCAGCCGCATACGACTTTGGGTTATCAAATTGTGAAAATTTTGACATAATTTTATAAAACGTATTTTGACGAAGAGAGACAGCAGGCAGTATAAACAAATTATAAACAAATAGTGGATATAATTTACTATTGACAAACAAGGTAATAATAACTAAAAGGTAATATGTATGATATACATGACAATTTCATAAATTAAAAATAAAATAAAGCCTTATGCCAAAAGGATCAAGGGTTATTTTTATGAAAATAGTTTTGCCTAACCAAAAAATCTGACATTGAAAAAACCAGACAAATATAAAGTACAAAAACACATCACTTTATATCACCACAATTCAAATATTAATATATAATATATATAATAGTAATATAATAGTATACATAATTTTCAAAATTCAAAAAATTGCATTTTCAGCATACATTGTGAATGCAATAAACATTATGTTGCAAAGACTTCTCGACCTGTGAATACATATTAGAATACATGAACACAAAAATTAGATTAAAAAACAAGGATTTGAGAAATATAAAATTTGCAATCACGCTTGGGAAAACAGTCTTAATATTCAATGGGGTTCGGCTAAAATTTTGGAAAAGGAAAATAATACCGTTAAAAGAAAATTAAAAGAGACCACGATTATTCTGGTGAATGGTGAAAGATGTGTGTCAAATTATTCTATGAACTTGGATCCTTGCTGGCTACAGATGCTAAAAGATGAAGTAAGTAATAATAGAATAAACATCACATATCTCTAGCTACGAAAATAAACAAAAGCAAATAAATTTAAAGTGTCAAGGTAACTAAAACGAAAAGTCAAAAAAGTTCAGAAGTCGTCACCACCACCATAAACACCATAGCCTAAGTGATTGATAATGTTTCATATAATTTTAATATATCAAATATGTAGTTCAAATTAAAACAGTATTAATAACCGTTAAATATCTATATTTTGCATTGACGAACTTAAATGAGGAGAAAATTGACATAAAAAGTCTACACTACTAGTGTTAGTGTTTAATAATAATTAAATAAACCTGGCATTATAATATGCCAGAGATACCTCTGTTACTTTATTTTATAAAAATGACACTTTCATTAATTTTCCTCAATAGCATCCAAATTGTATGAAAACAACACTATTTTCAATAACATTTTGTCTTTTCATTATGGTGATTTTTTTGCCAAATGAACTGTACTGTTTGGCGTTTTTTAGAGTTTCTATCGATGCAACTAGTGTCGTAATATGATGCTTATCTTTTGCTTGTAAAATTAAACCAAAATCAGTTGTATTCCGACCT